CCCCCCCCACAGACCGTGACAGAGAAAATCCATACCCATCACAGACCGTGACAGAGAATTCAGGTACCCGTCACAGACCGTGACAGAGAATCCAGGTACCCGTCACAGACCGTGACAGAGAACCCTGGGTACCCATCACAGACCGTGACAGAGAATTTGGGTACCCATCACAGACCGTGACAGAGAACCCCGGGTACCCATCACAGACCGTGACAGAGAATCCAGGTACCCATCACAGACCGTGACAGAGAGTCCAGGTACTCGTCACAGACCGTGACAGAGAATTCTGGTACCCATCACAGACCGTGACAGAGAATCCAGGTACCCGTCACAGACCGTGACAGAGAACCCCGGGTGCCCGTCACAGACCGTGACAGAGAACCCCGGGTACCCATCACAGACCGTGACAGAGAATCCAGGTACCCGTCACAGACCGTGACAGAGAATTCAGGTACCCATCACAGACCGTGACAGAGAACCTGGGTACCCATCACAGACCGTGACAGAGAACCCGGGTACCCATCACAGACCGTGACACAGGAATTGTAGTTGTAAAGCATCAAATATACGGTCAGCTACAAATGTGTCGTAAGGGAATGGAACAAAAGGATTTCCATTTAATTAGTAACAGTAGGTCCATCGTGTTTCACATTTTTAATCCCGCAAGGGATTGCGCTAACAGCTTTTTTTAAATAACGAAAAGGAAACTTTCGATTGTATTCCAGTTAAGAAAAGATTTTTTTGTAATATATTTATATATCCGATATAAATATTATAAAATATAGTAAATCACGTTCATCATCTGTTGAAAATTAACATGTTAATTCAACATTATTTTGTATTGTATCAAAATAAATTGATATAGAATCTATTAATGCAATTAAATATAGTTGATTATTAGAACATAATAATAAAAGACTTTTTATATAAATTATATCTGACGTCGTTCCAACATCATTGAAATTTATTTCATTTGATATTGATCGTTGTGTTGGTAAAGAAAGACATCGATGATTGATTATTGATTCTCATTTTTTGCTTCGTGAAGTATAGTCACATTTTTCTTTTTTGTTATCGTTACATTCTTTGTGCATCTGCCTCTCTAAGTCGATACGAGAGTACTGATGGCAGAGGCAATTAATATTGATCCTAATGAGGATCTTCAGTCTGGAAAGGAATATGAGACACTGGAACAAGGTTCTATATCAAATGTTCAAGTTGAACTTATATCAAGATTTTTATCGGAGTGTCCGCAAGCAGCTTTAAATGTACACAAGTACCTGCAGAAAAATTATTCAAAGTCAAACCAGCAACAACAACAACTCATGCAACCAGTGAATTCAACACCGAAACGCGGTCATCCACTAGATGAAAGTGGAGGTTCGATCAGCAACGGAAGAGGTCTCCGTAAATATCCTCGAAGGGGTATTGACAATAATGCACATAAGCACTCACATAATGTACAACCAGAAATTAATTTACAAACACAGCAACCATCGTCTTCGATGTCGTCAGATGTAAGACAACATCAAGAGATAAATCAAGATAATACGAATCGTAAACGAATTTCTTTTAATCAACTGAAGCACGCGGTATCGTCTAATTTACCATGTTTCTTTATTGAATTCACCTCGGATGCGGATCGTAATAGTATTCCAACAGCTCTTCATGCAAGTGATCTTATACTGAAAGAACTGCAAACCAATGGTGTTTTAATCAATAGATTTACATTAGTAGGATGGGCAGGAAAAAAGCTAAAGTTAGGTGTTAATAATAAAGAAGATTACGCTACTCTCGTCAGTTCGGATAAATGGCCAACAAAGATAAATGGAATTGATATTGTGGTCGTGAAACCAAAATATATACCTGATTCATTCACTCTCGTCGTCCGTTATGTACCTAGGGAATTAGATGAAAATTTTGTTTCAAATGAAATTCAGCGAATAATTGCTTCTGCAGATCGTATTAAACGTATTCATTATTCATACCAAAGAAGAACAGATGATTATCGATTCGAAGTGAAAGATTATCGTGAATATAATGCTGTGTTGCAACTGGGTCGAATTGCAATAGGTCATTCGTGGTTATCGATCACCAAGTTTCATCCGGGAAATCGTTTAACGTACTGCACGAAATGTTGGCGTATTGGTCATTTAAGGAACAAATGCAGCTCAGAAAGCAAATGTCGTATTTGTCTTGAAAGTCTGAATGTCAATACTCCTCATATGTGTAAAAATGTACCGAAATGTGCTCAATGTGATGGAGATCATCATTCGTTGGATAGTCAATGTCAAGTTTTAAAAGAATATAAAGATCAATTAAAGGAAGATGTCGAAGATGCCATACAAAAAGGACTATTACAGCGATTCTCACCGCAAGAGAAAGCACCTACATTTGAACGTCGAGAGCAAGACTTTCCACCATTAGCAGCAAGTGATAATCATTCCAATAAAAAATGGAATACTGCGCTACCACGTACAACTGTTGAGTCGAATGACTTACGAGCATCATATACTGATAAAACAATTGAATCCATCAATGATAATCTGACAAAACTAATCGATAGTAACAAACGGCTTGAAAATAAAGTTGATCTAGTATCATCAAGTATAAAAACCGTTACTCTTGATATTCAGCTACATCAAGCAGTCTTAGCAGATACTATCAATATTATGAAAGACTTCATGCAATATGTTATACCAGCATCGTTAACTGCTAGCAAAGTTGAAAGATCATCGTTGGTACAAGTCACGAGCGAATACTACAAGCGCCTTCATGTCGCGTCCTCAAGATTAATAAATGGTTTCCAATTAAATCAATTAAATCAGCAAGTTGAACTGTTCGTGCATAATACTAACATTGATCAACACTCTGCATCAGTTCACAAATCTTCACAGAATGATAAGTAGAAGATCAGATCTTAATGTACACGCTAAAGTTTTCTTTCCTGCTTCAGAGAATTATTCATTTAGTCCTATAGATGAAGCTATGCACCGGCTGAAAACTTGGAATTTTGCACCTAAAGATCAGAAATTAGTATTATCTCTTTTAGATGAATGGTACACGGGTAGAACCTTGAACACAGTCTTAGAACAATGGGGAAATGTTGGAATAGCTCCTTCACAAACCCAAAAAGAACATATTAAGATCCTATGTTATAATGTCGAAGGTTGGGGTACGCGTGCGCTTGAAGCTATTGATTTAGTGTATCAAATTCAAGCTTCTATTGGTATATTTACTGAAGTTGGTGAGTTATGGAACATGAGCCGATTACCACATTTTAACACGTTCTATCAAAAGGGAACTAACAAGAATGGAGGAGTATGTATAGCAGTAGGAAAGCATCTGAAAGCGACGCGCATTGAGGTTAACATTCCGAACACAGTTGTCATTGATATAACAGGTCTATCAGAACCGGTACGTATCATTGGTATTTACTGGCCCACTAGTCAAGAGCGTGATCTTGATGATATCTCGCCTTATGTCGTAGAAGGTACCATACTATCAGGTGACTTTAATGCAACAGTCAAGGAATGGCATAGTCCAATAACTGATAGAAGAGGTGCGCACGTGAAAGAATGGATTAATGAAAATAATCTCAATTATATTCCATCAACGTCCAACTCATCTAAGCGCTCTCTACGTAATATAGATTTGTCGTTCTCTAATATGAGTACTATTTCAAGCGAAACATTGTTTTTTGGCACTAGCGATCATTGGCCGATTGTGTTATCGTGTGAGAACATTTTTTTCGATATAAACAGTTTTTTTCCTCATACAAATTGGAAGGCATTTGAAGCAGTAATAACGCTATTACAAACATTCTGGATGAGAGAACAAAAGAAAAATAGTGCTGATGAGTGGTACAAACAATATATTCGTTTCATCGCGGCTGTCAAAAATAGAGTGACTCATTGGAAAGAGAGAGATAAATATAAACCATCATTACCGAAGTATATCATCGAAAAATTAAAAGAAATACGAAAAGTGAGAAATAGATATTATCATTTAAGACATAAGGGAGTTTTTAGTGAGGAAGCGAGGGTGCTATTACGTACAATGACAAGAGAGACCAAAGTTGAAGTTGCTAAATACAAAAATGCTCAATGGCAAAATTTTTTGGTTAACATTGAAACGTCTTACGATAAATCAGATAAAGCGTTTTGGACACACTTATCTCGCATTCACAAATCGCGTACGCTGCCTTTTTATAAACTTTCGGATGGCTCTAAAATAATATCAACTCAACAAGAAATCACAAACGAACTATATCAGTATTACAGTGAACAGTTTAAAGCATTTGCTCTGGATTGTTATAATGTACATGAAACTCAGTTAGACATGGAATATAAAGAGTTGCTAAATAAATTATTAATATCAAAAGATAAAGTCGAAAAAACTAGTGTTTGGGAAATCTCACGATTAATCAAAACGTTAAAGCCAAAGAAGTCAGCAGGTTTTGATTTGGTGTCAAACTTCATAATTAAAAAACTTCCTCCAAGTTACATCGAGTGCTTAGCAAATTGCTTTAATGTATGGTTAAACGAGTGTCGTTATCCAGATGACTGGAAAATTGCTAAAATTATAACCTTAAATAAGTTGAAATCGGGTATCCCAAAGTGTGAACAAACTCGTCCGATATCCTTGTTAGCTACACATTCTAAGCTGTTCGAAAAAGTGCTCTTACTAAGAATTAGACACTGGGCTGAAACAAATCGTTTAGTACCCGTAGAACAATCGGGGTTCCGTCCAAAATGTCTTCTACCTACTCGCGTTCTGTCAATATATCAGGAAGTCAAAAATAACATGGCAGCCAATATTCCGACACTAGCGCTTTATGTCGATTATCAAAAGGCTTATGATCGCGTATGGCATGCCGCTCTTCTGTGTAAACTAGATAGACTGGGTATGCCTCTCAACTTATTGAAAATGATTGATAGTTGGTTAAAAGATAGAAGAGCTTACGTAGAATATGGTGAAATAACTTCGAAAATATTTAAGATACATATAGGACTTCCACAGGGCAGTAGTCTTAGTCCATACTTATTTATAGTGTTTCATTCAGATCTAACAAATTACCTGGGAGCTCATTCATGTCATCTATTTGCAGATGATCTTTGTGTATTAATTAGTCCTCCCATTATGAGAAACCTAGACCCGATGATTGAATACTTAGAAAAAGAAGGTACACGAATTTGTAATCAGGTTCTTATATATTCAAAAAAGTGGAAACAACCGTTAAATGTTTCGAAAACTGTAGTACAACTTTTTCATACACAAGTAAAAAGACCGATAGTAAATGTAACGATAGACGGAAACAAAATCGAATTAGTTAGAGAATTCAAATACCTAGGTTTTACCTGGACGGATAAACTATCGTTGAAACCAACAATCGAAAAAGCGATAGGAAATATTCAGAGATCGCTAGGAAAACTAAAATGGATGAAATCTGGTCGCGAAATGTCATGTAAAGCTCTCCGGCAATGTTTTTTCGCATTCACGTTCCCTCATTTCGCTTGGCTGTTTCCACTTTTTCCAATCCTCTCAGAATCTCAACAAAATATATTGCAACAAAAATTCCGTGTGGGACTTCGGCTGGTGCATCGCTGCCCCTTCGTTTCTGCTCATAATCTTTTCAATATTACCTCAGAACAACCCTTAGAATTTTATGTTAAAAAATATATTCAACGAAGACTAAAGACCATTTACACAACTGATCTTGGTTCTTCATTGTTCTATGAAGATATTTTTGGGTGGGATAACTTTTATAAAAGAAAAAACGATCATCTTGGGCATTTTTTTTTTGTTTACGTCGTGTTCGGCAATTGAAAGATCGACACGAGTCTTCTCTTTTAAAATGGTTGTCCTTTGTTGATGTGAATTAATGTCACAGAAAGACGCTTAAATGTAATGCTTATGCAATTTTCTTTTTTCGTTCTTGCTCTCTTTCTTATCACTTTTTATCTCGCGTTCGTTTCTCTTGGTTTGTTTTTCGTCTTCCTTCGAGTTGCTCGCTCTACTCACGTATCTCCGCTGCTATTCATCATCAGTACTTCTCTCACTATCTTCTTCTTCTCTTTCTTTTACTCTTGGGTTATTTTTTTTTTCTTTTTCATTTATTTACTCTCTATATATCCCCATGTGCAGAAGTTGGTACTCAGTATAGCATATTGTTGGCACAATTGTAACGCTTTGCTTTAATGATACACCATTTCGCTTATACATCTATAATTCTCTCTTTTATTATGTAAGCACTTCCGAGTGTTACAGACACGAGCATAATAAAAAAAAAAGACATCGATGATTGATTATTGTACTTAATGTACCTGTTGATGCACATCATAATGATGGAATATGAATATCAAACATAAGACAATCCGGCATTGATAAATATACAAAACCTAGGAAGACAAAAACAAAATACATATTTTTATTTTCTCGAATCAGTTTTTATTTACTACGAGAATCATCCTAAAAATTTTATGCTATAGAAAAAAATAGACTTAAGTATGGAATACAAGGTTGATCGTGAATAGACCCCGTCGGGTAGGACCCGGACCCGCACGGGTCCGGGTCCAAAAATTTTACTTTGGCCGGGTCCGGGTCCAAAAATTTTATTTTGACCGGGTCCGGGTCCGGGTCTGAAAATTTTGCTTTAACCGGATCCAGGTCTGAAGAAAACTTTGATCCATACAATTTATTTTGAATTTTTTTAAAGTTTTGTTCGTTTTATACAAAGAAGAGATCAAATGTATTTAGAAAATAGATAAAAAACAACAAAACCCTTCTTGACTATACTATCTAAACTAACTTGTCATTGTGTTTGGATCCAAAAAATTTAAGCGACCGGGTCCGGGTCCGGGTCCAGCAACCTGTAAACGGGTCCGGATCCGGGTAGAAAAATTTTAAATGATCGGGTCCGGGTCCGGGTCCAAAAATTCTGGACCCGACGGGCTCTAATCGTGAATGTATGATAAAGATACGAGTCTTGAGTTTTTATTTTTTTTTTCAGTTAGAGAGATTTTTGTAAGAAAATAGCTGAGTTTTAAAATTGTAGACTAGGTATTCAGACTTCAGGAATCTGAATATATAGAATGTAAGATCAACATCACTGTTGCATTCCTAGCCATCGGTTCATGATATTTGTTTTGTCATAAATTTGAAATGTCTGGTTTCTAAAAATTATTTTCGATTGCACAATAGAAAGCATCTTACGAGATATCTTTAAAACTATTTATGATTGTTTTCTTCATTATTCATCTCATAATATTAAAAAGACATTGTTTTCTCTAGCTGTGACAGTACAAATAATTCGGTCATTGTACTAATGCAACTTAAATGCTTTCCTTTACGATTCGTATTACCTGAAATTTTGCATTTTTTTAAAACTGTCATTATAAAAATCATTCGTCTTTACATGTAAGTACAGTAGACCGACTAGTTTTATACTCTAAAATATTTTTCGAAATTTTGAATTATTCAAAAGTCTCATTTACTATACTATCATATAAATCATGTCAAAGAGAAGCAAATTTTATATATTTATTTCAGTAGATTAAATCTAAAACATACCGGTGACATCATAAATGGTAATGATTTTTTAAGTTATATTTGAAGTATTTGTGCATTAACTTTTGGTGTTCTATTCATAGGATAATTAAGATTATTAAAATCGTCTGGAATAGTATCGATTGATATTATTATTAATAAAATTAATGGTAAATATTTAGGTATTAATTGTTTATTTAATATTTGTTCATCTAGTGTTAACATTATTTTAATACGACGACAAATAATTAATTCAATGAAACTTAATAATGTAAGCAATTGTTCAATTAATAAAACTACGAAAAATTTTTAATGATAATAATAATTTATTTCGTTTTAGTAAATTATGTCAATTAGTAAGGTGCAGGCAATTCAAACGTCGAGTAAGGTACTTTTTTTGTCT